TTTTACTTCAGGAAAAAATATATTTTCCTTATTGTTAAAACCATATTATATGTTTCATATAGAATTATAGCTAGCACAACCACCAATTTTAAAGTTCCCCCAGGGTGGAACCATTGTTCTCCCCTCCTTAAGAGGAAGTACCTGTTTCTTCCTCTTCTGGGTTGGTGTTAGCCCTGTCAGAAAGAGCAAAGCATGGCTGCTGAGGGGAAGGTGGAAGGAAATCAAGTCCTGAGGAGAAGGCAACACGGCTCCAAAGACCTGCCCCCAAATCCATCAGAAACGGTAAGCTTGCTGGGGGCATTTCATGTTTCTATTAAAGGAATAGTTTGCAGTTAAATCTGGAGTGGAATCTCAAGCCTGGAAGAAAGGAGACCCAGTTGGTGGAGGATCCATCCCGAACCACAGTCGCATTGAAGACAGAGACGAGCAGATTATGCTTGGGGACGGGTCTGTGGGGGTCTGTGGAGGTCTGTGATTCTGGAGATTCTTGTGGGGGCGGGGGGCTCCCTGTTCCAAGTTTGAGATTCCTCCTTCTCCAACTGGAAAGGAACACTGTGTTAGTGGCAGAAGAGAGGACTGTGGTTTCTAGCCCTGGGCTTAAACAAAGGGTTAATCTTCCTGAGCTGAGAATACTGATGGTGCCAAGGCTGCCACTTAAGACCTGAGTGAGGGAGAGTTTGAGATAAATGTGATATCAAATGGAGATATCACTGAGAAGACAGAACTTGGTGGGAGGCCGATTTGAAACTTGGTAACGCGGGCGCTCTCTCATGTAAGAGAGGCTACAAGAAATGAGATGGGCCTGGGGGAAACCAGTACCCCTGGGGAAATATTTCAAAATGTGGATCTGATGGAAGTGGCCCGCCCCCCGCCACCCCTATGCACGTGCTCCAGCAAACAGGCTATCTAGCCTTCAAATCCACCTGAGAAATCCCTCTATGGTCATGGCTGTACCTGATATCGCCCAAACCAATGGCCCACAAAGTGAGGTCCCCAGACCAGCAGCTTCAGCAACACCAGAGAAGTTGTTCGAAATGCAACATCTCACTGCTCACCTGCTGGATCAGAAACTCGGAGGGTGGGGTCAGCAACCTGCCTTTAACAAAGCCCTCCAAGGGACTCCGATGCGTGTTCAAGTTTGGCCTAAACTGTGCGAAAAAAGGTTTCTCCTAAGTGGAAGATGAGTGTTATTGTTAAATTTTGTTATTGCTAAATTTCAGAAATCAATAGTACTTGGAACTGGAGAGCAGAAGGCATAAAAGTTGTATGGCCCATAGAGCAATTACAAACATGAGAGTTGTTGAATTATGGTTGTAATGGCAACGTATGGGGATTCTGAACGTGGATTTTTGGGAAAGTGAAAATGCACTGTATGCAGATGTGAGAATTATTCCTTACAGGATGGGGACACCAAGAAAATGTGGTCATATGAAGTAGCACAAGTGTTTTAATCACAAAAAAGGTGGAATGTTGGTGCTGCGTAAACTTGTCCTGATGAACAATGGTAACTGCCTCCCTTTCCTCTCTCCTGGTTTCATTTAAAACTGTCCTTGGGGGAGCAGGAGACTGGGCCAATATCCACAGACCTAGCAGGCTGAGAGTGATTTCTCAGTGGAATTCATGATAAAAAATGGTTTCTGTTTTCTGGGCTAGCTGCTTCTCCATCATCCTAACTGCCTGCCCTTTGCTTTATATCTGGACTGGATTAATTCCCAGAGAATGGAGTCATTTTTCTGATGGAAACTCTCAGCGCTGATTGGAAGGAGGAAGAGAAGAGGATAGTGGGGTTTTGTTTTTGTCCTGATGCAATTTGGAAACCCTGTCAAGTCGAAGGTATCCTGGAGACATATTTTCTGTTTTCCTTTCCTATTTCTCATCCTAAATTTAACACTTGGGTCCCATTCTTTTCTCTTTGCCTTTTCCCTTTAATAAATACGTATTGATATGCATTAATGAAATACCTACTGTGTGCAGTGCACAGTGCTAGATGGCTTCACAAACCAACATTTTCATCCTATCTTCTCCAACATTTGAAAAGGAGAAAACTGTAAAATATCTCTCTTTTCACCCCCTTGTCACTGTTTTTTCTGGCTTTAGTTTTGCCTTTTTATGTTCCTCTTCAAGTGAAAAACTTGGCACTCTCCATATTTTAAGCTATTTGTGAAAAAGCAGGTGATTCTTAGAGATCAAAGAAACACACAAATGTCCTTTCACAGTGGGATTGCAAGCTTGATCTATGACTTTCCTAGGTTCCTGGTTTCTGTTATTTTTCTATTGAATAGAGGACAAGAGGTGGGAATGGGTTGCAAAAATAACAGGTAATAGCTTCCATGCTTTATTGTGCTACTTTGCAGGGGGCAGAACTGATCTCTTAACGCTTGAGGCAAATACTTTGAGCTCTTTGGGTCCTTACAGATGTACACTGTAGCCCCCAGAAGTCTGGTTAGCTGCCTTTCACTAAGGCAACTGAGTCATTGGCGATCAGAACAGTGCTCCACCAGGCTGAGACGGCAGAAATGTCCATAGTGTGAACACAAAGGGCCTCTGACTCTGATTTGAGAAACAGGGTGTGAAAATCCCACATCATATTTGCATTAAATATTGAGAGAAATGGACCACTGTAACCTATGTCAAGCAGAAACCGAGATTACTGTAGACTTCAAAGTTTGGGAAGCAGAAAATCGATGTCTACGAATACAATCTCTTTTCAAGATCACTAGAATCATTTCACAAAGGAAACTTTAAGAGGCAAGTGATGAGTATTAGCCTTATTTAGAGAGAATTGGGGATAGGAAGTCATATGGTTTTTTCTGAAGATGCGACCGGTCTCTAATCTAATCATCCTAGTCTGTAAATGCCTGGCAGTCCTTTTTTATATCTCTCTTTAACAAGGCAACTCCATGCCTTTTCTTCTTCAGGTTAATCACTAGAGAGGCCCTCAGGAATCCATTTCTGGATGTGGGTTAAGAGGCTGTGCCATGTACTGATTAGAAACCGAGACTCTGGGGTCAGCCTGTATGGTTAGGATCCCTTCTCTACTTTGTAGCCATGTGACCTTGGCAAGTTGTTTACCCTCTCTGAGACTCAGTGTCCCCACAGGGTGCCATAGGATTACATGAGATAATACATGTCAAGAATTTAGCACAGTGACTGGCCCAAAGGCCCAGTAAGTATTAGATATGATTTATATTTGACATCAAACTCCTAAGGGAATCTTAGTTTCATTTGTTTCACCAATTTTTCTTTTTATGGTCAATCTAGTTGGGACAGAATATTTGGTTTGGGGGTTTATTTTCCTCCCTCTCCAACTCTTTTCATCACTCTCCTCAACCCAGGAAAAGGTGATCATGAAACAACCGTTTGAAATGGAGTCGGCTTTGTGTTAGTCCACTGGGAAAATGCTTTGATCTCCAGCTGTGCTGTGCGTGTTTGGGAGGCTGCTGGGTTCTGCCCACAATAAGAGGCATCTCTGAAGGTTTAGATATTTTTAAAAACAGATGCAAAAGAGCAGCTTGTGGATTCCTCGAGGATGCGTACAAATGGCACCTCTGCCTACTGCCATTCCCCAAGGGCCACCCCCCTTTCCAGGGCCTCGGGTTGGCCAGGGTGTCCGGATTTCCAAGCTCCTGGTTTTTCTGGGCTCTGAGCTGGCAGGGAGTGCACAGCACTGTGCCCTTAGCATTCTGGTGGCTCGCAAGCCAGTGCTGCTCTCGAGCCCTCATTCGAGTCAGCTGTCTCCAGCGTATGGAGGAGGACCGCAAGGGCCTCTGTAAGCAGGTAGCAGTGCACCTGGAGAGAGGAGAGAGGGCAGGGCCTCCTCCTCCAAGGAGCCTGACCTAGCAGCATTATGTAAATGATTTCTTGGAATTGCCAGCCTGGCTTCTGGTGAGACTGGAAGATCACCTTGCAAATGGCCTGATGCCAGCCTGACAGATGGCCTGGGCTGCTCGCAGCACAGCCCACATTAGGCCTTTCAAGTGTATTCCTGAAGGCAGGCAGCCCAGCCAGGAGAGTCAAGGGGGCAGTCCAGGGGGCCGGCTCGGGCTGCAACATGGGTTCCCCCACTCTATCTACCCTCTTCTCCCCAACCTGCAGGGGAAAAGACCAGCTCTCTCTTTCCACTTGAAAGCAAATCTCTGGGCCTCATGGTTTGGGGTCGATGTCTGGCCTGGACTCTACATGGCAGTCCTCACAGAAGTGACCAAATGTTTCCATCAAATGAACCAGCTACCAGTTAAAAAAGATAATAAAATAGCAGAGCCTTCTTGAGGACTTTGTTCAGAAAGCCTGTGACTTCTACAGAGAATTAAGAAAATACTGCTTACAAATTTTGTGATTTTGTGTCCTCTAAGACCACAGACCTCTTATCATGTTCTTTTTTTTTAAGCATGAATCCTTCTTATAGTAGTTAGAAAGCAAATGTATAACATTTTTTTTTCTCTCTTACACTCAGAATAAAGCCTGGGAAAATTTAATGTTCCTGGATTCAGCCTGTGGATTTGAGATAAGGATTCAAGGAGAGAAGCCTTTTAACTCAGAACAGAATCTGTTTGCAGCTATTGTGCAATTAATGTGAAGTATCTGGTTACTGGGCATGTTGCATTATGCATGACAGTGTAAACCCATCATTTTCAGTGCTGACACTGAACTCCTTGATAACAATGAAGAGCGAGGGAACGTGTTCATTTTTCAGAAGTCCTCTAAAACAATGCTGCTCAAGACTGAATGAATCAACATTTTAGAGCCGGGACTCAGCCGAGGCTTGTCTGTGTGTGCTCACAGTGATAAGAAATCTAGAGGGAAACAGGAAAAACCTCATGTCACGTCCTCTTTAAGAGCTAGAAAAGCTGTCAGAAGAATTAAGATGAAACCTCCTGAGAGTCTGTGGGTGTGGAAAGTCACTAGCTAGCTAATATTAACATAGCTTGCAACAGAACGCTGTTGCTAGAAATAGGACAGTCACATCACTACCACTAAGCAATTTGCATTCTGTGGACCAGCCTCTAAATTCCTCCTGGCTCCTACTGCCCTTTGGGCATTTCTGGACGCTTTTAGACAGTGTTCATACTTGGCTGTCTGGTTTCACCAGGAACCCTCCTCAAAAGAGGAAGCAGCAAGAACCTCTGCTTTGTTTGCAGGAAAGTGCTCGAGCTACAAGCAAATCTTTAGGCATCTGAGGAATCGTGAAGCTTCTAGATTTCATATGGTTGCTGACAGGGAGGGGCAGACAAGGCCCTTCTTGCATTCCTCACCATGGATAATCTGTTGCCTCAGTCTAGATTCTCTTATTTCAAAAACTATCCTCTCCATGTAATTAGGAAATATTTATCGATGCTGAGAAACCAAAGAGCCGAAGAACAGGTATTATTTTGTTTATATTATCTTTAAGGTTAATGGATGTTTGCTTTTGGGTGTTGCTTTTACGTCGCTTGGTGATTTAGTTTTTGCTGGTTTACATGTTTATAGGCCCCTGCTCGTGGCTGTTCAGACTTGACAATCAGAGGAGCAAGCAGGCTGGTGAGGGCTTATTTGAACTTGGAACATTTGGATCCTGAGATTAAGCTCAAGTTCTGTAATAAAACCACATGCTTTTTTTTTTTCTTCTGAATAGCTAGACTAAACTACTCTATCAGAGCTAAACTGTGGATTCCTTGATGATTTTCCAGGGCCTCAAATAAAACTATTAATATCTCGACAAAGAAAACTATCAGGCCCTAGAAATACACTTGACTTCTTTGCGTATTTATGGCAATATTAATACCACCGGGACCTGCAAAACAAAATACATTTTGTAGACTGTAAATAAGATAAACAGATCACTAGGGAACTGTGAAGATCATTCAGAAGTAATTAGTTGTTCTTTTTGGTGGCAAGTAGGGATAGAGCACTGGAAATTTCAGTCTTTTTAGCCAATTAAAAGTTAGGATTTCTAGTAGTAGACTCTAGCATGTGGGAGTATTAAAAAAAAAAAAAACTGTTAAAATGTCTTATCACTTCTTGTTCAAAATCATGCATTCATTTTATTGTTTTGAGATTTATATTATTCTTACCATTATGAAAAAGGCATTTCTAAAATCCACTTTTGTGAATTGTACCAGGTCATTGGAAGAAATAGCTATATCTGATCCATTTAAATCTGGTGGTTCATTTAGGAAGACGTGTGGCAGTGGTAAAGGACAAATGTACAGCCACATTGAAGACCCAGAGTCGTAAATTGCTTGGGCATCATGCTTGTCACTAGAACTGCAAAACTGGGTAGGAGATATTAGCAGTGTCCTGTATTTGAATGAGATGACCTACTTAATCAAACACTTCCAGGAAGTGAAAGCAAAGGTCAGCAGACAGAATATCCTTTAATGACAGGTTTCCCCAAAAGTCAATGCATAATTTGGAAAAATGAAAATCATTACTACTGTTCTCGAGGAAACTGCGTTTGTGCTGTGCTTTAATGATTTTACAAGGGCTGGAAATTCAGACTGTGCTCACAAAGGGGGCTAGACTGGCCAGTTTCTCTCTCACTTAGGCAAGGTGTCATGATTACAAGGAAATCTCTTGGTTTCCAAGTCTCAGTATGTGCTTGTTTTTGAAGTGGAAAGCCAGAGGCCCAGGTGGTGGTGCTGTGACTTATTATCTGCCTCACCAAGTCCACATCCAGAGGCTTCTTCAGGCCTCATTGTGGGGGAGGAGGGGTGTGAGGAATGGGGAGGGGGAGGTGGCTGAAAGGAGGAGCTGGAACCTTGGGATGTGGATTAAGTGATTCTTTTTTTCCTTTTCTCAGTATTGTAAGTTTTCAGAGGTGTGGCTGTATTGCTTGTATGGTTATTATTATTTTTTAAAATTTATCTTTAAGATGTTACAAAATGCACTTATGAGAACATTAGAATTTAAAATGGATCCTCTGACTTGGACTGAGTGGGTGGTCCCCTCCCAAGTTTACAACCATTTGGCATCACCTGGGAACAACTATGAGTATTGTGCTGATTTCTTAACTTTCTGCATAAATTGATGGAGAAATAAGAAAGCATATTCAATTCCTTTCTGAAACCAATTAACAGCTCTGCAGATGTAATGTCTCACAGAATTAGAGAAATTAGGTCAGAGTCAATCATGGCTAACCTTGGAAAGCTTGTTGGAAAGTTGTAAAGGAGGTTAATAATGTCTATAATTTTAGGACTTGCATATTGGTTGTCTCTAATCCTTACATTCATGTAAGATGGATCTTCATTATAAAGATGAAGGAAGTGAGACAGAGATCTTAAGAGGTCTTATCCAAGGCCACCCAGCTAGAATGTACTGAAGGGAGATTTGAACTCCTGTCTGCATGGCTTTAAACTTGATCCATTTTACCATGTCTAGTCTCTGAACAGCCTAGTGATAGCAACACAGCAAATGGCTAATCTTTCTCTTAGAGAGTAAGTCCAACACTTCAGATAGTCACATACCACTGTCATAATTCTTGCCATAAGTGTTTACTACCTGTATGACTAACTCCTTAGTATTTTTCTATATTTGCATTTAAATCACTCACTTTTTAAACATAAGTTTGTTTAGCAAGAAATTTTATATTACTGCTCTAAATGGAAAACCACTGTCATTTGCCATAAATAAAAGGGAAGCATAAATGTAATAAAAGCAAAATAATGTCAAATTCTAGCTAGATACTGTTACCTGTGAAACCTCTGAGCCTGAAACTTGCTCTGTTTTGTAAGAAAGAAGATTAGTTTAAGATATTAGCATCCTAGTAGCCAATTGAGAAATTCTCCTGGGCAGGGATAGAAGGAAATTAAACGATAGACAACTTTTGCAATTCCAAGTAATTCATTGTTATTTAATGCAGTGTCTGCATGTCACCTAAAGTCTTCTCCCACTCCATCTAGCATCATTGGGTACTACTAGTGTTGTGTTCACACATTTTCAGAATAGTCCCCCAGACACACCACCTACTTCTCCACCTCCGGGTATTCAAATACACTCCTCCCTCTAGCCTAGAGTTCTGTCCTTTACTTACAACTAGCCCATCTGGAGATTGCCTATACGTCCTTCAAAATTCAGGTTAAATGGGCTCAGTGAAAAAACTTTCACCGGTTCTGCAGGGAAGAGTGAAGTACAGCCCCTCCTTTTCCAAGATATTATGTCTGCTTCTAGTAGGGGCCCTTACTATATCATGTGTAGTAAACCATTTGCTTACATGTCTACATATGTGCACCTATACACACATGATGCTGGGTGGTCCTTGTTCTTTGTTCCCTCACGCCCACCTTTGAGCCTGGCACAGGCTGGTGTAGGAGTGACCCATACCACAGGCAGATTGCCTGTGGAGCACACTTCCTTTCTTACTTCCACCCATCTCTTGACTGCGCCTGGAGGGTCCCCCTATGTCCCAGTCATGGTCATTGCTACACTTGCCTTGTCCACAGATGTCTTCTTGTTTAAACCTTCTCAGTGTTCTTCCTCCTTGCTCTTGGTGTCATACAGACACGAAGGTTTGATCTGAGGGTTGGTTGGTTTGGTAGTTTTTGTTGTTGTTCCTGTTGCGATGTGCCAATCAATGGATGGACAGGTTGTTTATCAAACTGAGAACAAATAGCTCATCCTTTGCATTCCTAGACTCTGGTATTGCAGACATTTCACAAAGCCAAGTCCCTAACTTAGAAGATTAAGGTGATTAATTAGATGAAGGTGCAGAAGGTTGGGCAAATTTGATGATGAAATATTTCCAAGCAGTATTATTCAAATGGTGTTGTAGTGGTGGTAGTGGTGCGTAGGAGGAACCTAGCTTGAGCCTAAATGGATTCTCAGATGAGTTTGGGCAAGTGTACTAAACACACACATAAGGATATATAATTGCAGGTATTTCCTTTTGGTTTGGTGGGAACAGCCAGAGTCTAGCTGAGATGTTGTCTGAACTTGTAGGAAATGAACAGGACTTGTAGGCAATATTCTCTTGAGTACTGCAGTCCCAACAGCCTGCTCTGTGGCTTGGGTGACCAAGCGGGACACTGAGTGGGGAAGGGAGAATTTATTCCACTTCTGGGCAGACTATAGCCTGGCTTCAGCTCAATGAGTGTTACAGAGAACTGAGTGCCCTATGAACCTCCAGGGAATGCTGCTCTGAGGGGTCAACACCACCGATGGAGACATTATTCATGGATGCTAGGCCAAATGATAAGAGAAGACAGTTTGTGATTTCATTTGAGACAGTCTACCCTCACTCCCTTGGTGAGGTCCTCCATTCCCATGGCTTCAAACACCACCTAGTTGCCGACAACTCCCAAATATTTAACCCCAGTGCACCTTAGCTTTGTATATCCAACTGCCTATTTGACATCTCCATCTGAATGTCTCGGTGATGTTGCAGACTGAATAGGTCCAAAGAGAACTCACAAGCTCTATCCCCAAATCTGCTCCTCTGCAGGTCCATCAATCAACACAAAAGCTCAAACCACAGACTTGGGAGTCACTTTGGCACCTCCCTTTCTCTCCCTCACCTCCCTTTGCAATCTCATAACAAACCTGTTCAATTATACCTCTAAAATAGTTACTGAATCCTCCATCTTTTCCTACACACCCTGCTACATCATCCTCCCTTGCTTGGACCATTGCAATAGCATTTGAATTGTATCCCCATGTTCATTCTTGTTACCCTACAATCCAAGTTCCCCTTAGCAGTCAGTATCTTCCTTTTAAGTGTAAATCTTATTTCACCCCAATTCAGAGAAGATGATTGCTTTCATTTGCTAGTTTAGCCCAAGTGCCAAACATAAATAAAGCATATAGTAGGTGATAAATTTATATAACTGAATGAGTGAATGCGGAGGTTGGGGTGTTCAGGGGCTGAGATGCTATTGTGCAGATGAGGGCAAGAGATGGTGAAAATAGAGTTATTACCTTTAGTAAGCGAGGCTGTTGAGATCAAGGAGAAACTGTGTAATTTATTTTACAGATGTGGAACTAGTGCCAGATGTTAAGAGATTTGCCCGAGGTCACACAGCTCATTTGGATCAGTGCTGGGATTAGAATTTGGCCTGCTTGACTCCCACTTCAGTGCTTTTTCCAGTGTGTATTGGGAGTCTTAGCAGAGATGTAGAAAAGGGCAATATGACTACCAAGCAAAGAGAAAAGGACTCTACAGGCTGAGTCCAGGGGGTAGGTGATGCCTGAAGGTCAACTTATCAATAATAGATAAACCCCCCTGATGAAAGACTGAGACAGAGGAGCCTGGTATTTTGAGCTCTTGTCCTTCAACTTATACTGCCCTGCAGTAGCCTCATCCACTTGAATCTCTTCTTCTGTGTGTCCCACAGACCAGGGATCAGAAAATACAGGATGGCTCACTTAGTAGACAAGAATTTGGGATGATC